ACAACTCATTTTCTAAATTAAAATATGTTGTTAAAATTTAAAATTGTTGAAAAAAAAAATTTTTAACTTATACTTTACCTCTATTAACAACATTATCCGTGTTCAAATATACAGGACCGCAACTACCTCACTGAAGAACTAAATTTTGCCTATCATTATTCATAAAATTAATATCACTATCACACAAAATACCTTCATCATCTATATCCATTATCTCTAGAAATACAGAGTTATTACTAAATTGTTGAGTCGAAATTTGCTCGTTATTATCAAAATGATCAGTATGATACATATCGTCACTGCTATCAACATCTTCAATATCACTCTCATTTTCAACAATGTTTTCTGGTAAGTCTTTCTCTATGTTGATATTGTGTTACTTCTATTCTTCGACCATATTGAAATGTTATAATAGATGTTGACCAAAAACTAATTCGTATGGAGTATACTTAGTAGGCCTGGAATGACAAATGTTCATAGCATATGTAACTATAGGAAGACCGACGCTCCAATCTCTTTGTTGCTTATCCTCCATTTATGTAGAAAGTGCGTTTTTTAAAGTCTTGTTAGCATTTTCGACTAGTCCTTGCGATTGGGGGTGGCGAGGACGCCTATTAATTATATGAACTCCTTTCAATAAACTAACAAGTTCATAAATAACCTGAGCTGTAAATTCATGCCTATTATCGCTTTGCAAAATACAAGGAGGTCCAAAAACAGTAAAAACTGAAAATAAGAATGCAAAAACTTCTGAAGCCTCCTTAGTGCGTAATGGACATGTTCAGGAAAACCAGGAAAAGTGATCCCGAAGATATGCAATATAATGATACTCTTTATCCGGATATTTTTCAAAGAAAACCAGATCAATTTGAACCTGTTGTAAAAATTTCTTTGAAATGATGGTTTTCCCAATTATGGGTGCAGGAAAGTTTTTACGTATGCAACATTATGTACACTGTGCAACATACAACTTCATGAATGATCTAGAAACATATGCATATTGTCTGCTTACTGCCTCATAAGTTTTTTTGAACCAGAATGCTGCTGTGAACTATCATGCATCTTACCAAGAACATTGTAAAGATTCTGAAATGGGTAAATGACGCGGTCTGTTCTTTATTTTGCATTTTTTATTTCTATGAGCTGAATAATAGGGTTGTGAGGTGTTCCAAAATCACATAGATAAAAATTATTTTTTGCCCAAAAACGATCCTTTGCAGTTCCATTAGACACGTCTTTGGGATTTTTTAGGATACTTATAATTAAATCATAGTCTTCCTGGGTAATTATTGCTTTCCTTTGTTGCTTGGGTTTACGACTTGACAAAAATTCAGACACTAGTTGATCAAAGGCGGCACGCGAAATAAAGGTAAATCACTATTTGTATCCATAATATTGATTATTTGTTGAGGTTTTTAATAAAACTAAGCTACTAAAGTTTCAATTTCTTAGGATCTCATAACAGCGAGTAAAGTTTTTTTTTTTTAATTACTAAGCACAATTTATTAAAAGTTTTTTTTTTTAAATTCACTTTTTTTTTTTTAA